TGATTTGAGCAGGTAAGAACATTTGATGATGATTTAAGTTAAAAATAATTAAAAAAACGCCCGCTTTATCTAATTTCAAGTGAATAATATGCACTTATCTTATTTTCAGGAGTAAAATCCTCATTCCAATGACAGATCATCGTACTTATCTACTCAAATACACAGATTTTAACACATTTTTAGATTTTTTTTTGCAGTGCAGAGCCAGAAGACGTTAAACACTAGACATCAATCATGGCAGGAAAACAGCCAGTCCAAATATGCCTGGAATGAAAGTGGGTCAAGATGTACCGTCAGCGTTGTCTGTGGAAAAGAACAGAAACACACAGCGGGGTAGGCAGGAGTTTAAATAAAGTGTTCCTTCCTTCACCTCTCCTCCTCCATTGTGCTTGTTTCCACTGCCCCATGGATGTGCCGGCCATTCCTCACTTCATGCCGCTTAGAAAAAAAGCAAAGCGACGCACGGCGCGGGTCAGGAGTTCAGGCTCTAGATCAGCGCTGGCATTGTGTGCTGCAGGGACAGCCGGCGATGGGAAACACACACGGGCAGAGGGGAGCGTCTCTGCTGCCGCTCCGAGGAGCCACTACAGCTGCTGACACCCCCCCCCGAAAATAAAAAAACAACAACTGAGAGCTGTCTCAGCTTGCTTTGCACACCACATCTGCAGAGAACCTTTGCTTCTACATAGCAGGATTTCACCACACGCCGATCATCACAACGATGAGAAATAAAGAGATAAATTATGATCTGATGTTTTTCTTTAAATGACAGAGCAGCAGTTATTCCTACACTGCAAATAAATGATCAGAAAATAAGTCAATGTTTCAAAAACTAAGTGTCTTGGCTTGAATTTGAACACTTAAATAAGAGGATAAAATATTTTTTACTATTTTTAAAGGCTGCACTTTTAAAAAAAGATGAAATTGTCCAGAGAGCTGTTCCAAACGAAATGTCTTTGTTTTACACTTGTGTAAACAAAACGACAAATAAAATCTAAGTCTATATCTTTACATCAGGATCGTCAGCGTTGCAATTTTACTTTTATCAATAAGTTTATTTATTTTACCCATTTCAGACATGTTTATCTACAGCTGTCCAAGTCTAAGTCTTAAAATAAGATAATTAGATATTATCAATTTGAAATTAAAGAAAAGGGTTGTTGATTTTGTTATTCTAAATGTAAATCATCTAATTTTAGTGATAAATTGTCCTATTTACGTGGTTAAATGAGGGAAAAACACTTTTAAAGAAAAAAGACCTAGATTTAAATATCTGCAGTGAAATAAAGTCATATTTAACTGTTAAACTAATGTTTATTAACTAATGTTTAACTAGTAAACTCCCCAAAAAAATCTAAAAATGAATTAAAGAAATGTATATAAAAGTGCATTTGCCCTTAAGTTGATGGTAAATAATGATGATGATCAATGTCAATAGAATCAGTATTATTGCCTTTAAAATAGGAGAATGAAAGTATTTTCTTTTTCTAAATGTAAATGATCTTATAATATTAGTAAATTATCTTCTAAAGTGTTTTAAATGAGAGAATATTGTTTTTTTAAAGAAAAAAATCTTAAATTTTTGAAGTGTACAGTTGATGACATAAATGCTTTTTAACTTTTACCAGTAAACTGCAAAACAATAAAAAGACCTAAGAAGATGTAAAGATCTCTTAAAATCTTAAAATTAATTCTCTCTTAATTTGAGCAGAAAAGTAAAAGAGTATTTTGGCGCCTAAAATAAGATTTTCACATAAACTGAACCTGGAGTTAAACTAATGAAGATGCTTTTTAACTTATTTTCAGTATGAAAATCTTATTTTATCACAAATTAATTTACTTACCAACTCAAATTAAGTGTAAAAACCTTTCTTTCTAGAAAATCTTTGTCGCCTTTAGTTCACTTTTTGCAGTGTGTTCAAGTTCTATTAATAGGATTAGTGAGTTTTTTTTATCTGTAGCTGAAGAAAAAGTGTTTCACAGAATTATTAAACTCTTAGTTTGTTTGCATGTCTCTGAAACGCCTCAAGAGCAACCAGCTGATATTAAAGTTTAATCTCTACAGGAAACTGGAGAACATTTCTGTGGTAAAAATAGTTTAATAACTGTTTGCTCATGACTGCTGTTGATGACAGGAATTAATTCCAAACTGCTGGATTTTACTGTAAGGTATAGCAGCCTTCTTTCAGCCAGCTGACAGGCAGAGCGCAGCTAACAAGTGGCTCAGTCTATGTTTTAATCCGACATAGAACCCTTACACTTAGATTTAGACAACTTTTACTGTCATTTTGTATACACAAAATTACGTTTTGTACAGCTTTCATGACATTTCTAATTCTTTAAGTGTGAAAAAAGAAGAAAAGAAGAAATGTTGCAAAAAAGGGCATTGATATGGTCATTCAGAGCCTTAAATATATAAATATATATTCCAGTAGCCAATTTGTCATCAAGTTGCCCTGGTTCCCTAGCAACTGACGCAGATCTCGTTAACCCAGGCGACGTCCGAGCCGGTATGGCTCTTGTATTTGCGGTTTCACTCATGCCTGAGGTAGGCCACTAAGCACCTTGCCTAAGGGTCTACCTGGATGTCCATGCCGGGAATCAAACCCACGATCACCTGTACCGGAGTCGTCCAGAAGAGCGCAGTCCTAGGAACAGCTAAGATACTGCACAGAACCCTCAAACTCCCAGGCTTCTGGTAGAGGACCCCAGCTTGAGGATGACACAAACCACCCCACGATGGGGTGAGAAAATGGTTTTGTTTTTTATATATATATATATATATATATATATATGGTGTCAATTATATATATATATATATGGTGTCAATTATATATATATATATATAAATATATATGGTGCAATTATTCAGTGTTTTCTATAATTTATGTGATGCTGAAAACGCTGAAACAGAATGGAATCTACAATAAAACCCAGAATCTCTTAGGATTTCCTCGTACAGGCAGGACGTAGCAATCTGGGGGGTATTTTGTCCTCTGCCGACTCCTGTATCTGCTGTTTCCTGGTAACCAGGTCAACCATGGAGATGAGATGAGCAGAACCTGAAGTTCTTGAAAAAATCTGAAACTGGTTCTAAAGTTCAGGGCAGAACAAAACTCCATTTATTTATATTAATCTGGAGAAGAAATTTTCTGCTAGCTTTGATCAGCAAACGATCGACTGGAAGCGTTGGGATCCATGGACGACCACTAACGGTCAGAGTCGCAGCAGAAACAGGCAGAAGCTGCTGCTACTGGAAACTGTTAAACTACATCAGCACAAGCAGTTAGTTTATCTATAAATTACATGATTTGGAGCTTTTAGAAAACAAGTAAATGTTGCTTTGAATGTCTGATAATTAGAAAATTTAAAAATAAGCCTGGATCCTGTTTAATAGGAAGGTTGGAGTTTATACGTTTGTTTCTATAAGAGACTTTTATTGTTAACTTTGACAGAAGGACATTTGTTTAATGCGAGATTTTGACTTTGACACAAATAATGTTTGTGTTTTATATAAAAGGATGACTCTGCTTTTAATTCCTTTAGAAAAGCATCTTCTGCAGAACATTATCTGTTATTTTCAGTCACTTTATAATCGCAGGCTTTTCAGGATTTGGTTAGAATGAAAATGTGAAATTAAGGAAATAAAAAACTAAATAGAAAAAGTGGAATAAGGATAAAAATAAGAAAAAAACAAAAAAAACAAAGTCAATGTAATAAGTAATGCCTGAATCCTATAGAAAAGAAAATTATGTCAAATTTAAGATCTGTAATATTTGCCACATTGTCCAAACCGGAGCAGATTTTGATCCTCTTTCTGTCAGCAGAGGAACATATTAATTCTGCTCCTTTGTCGTTTCGGGAAGCGTTTGTTTAAAACAAAGACTTCTTTCCTCAATAAATTGGACTTTAAATTCACCCAATTCTACTAAAAATGGGACAAATAGTGTCCCATTTTAATAATAGTGGGAAGAAAAAATTAGATCTAAGGTTCTGAATCAGGAAGCGTAAACAAACAAAAATAAACCAAAGGAATCAGTGCAGACTGATTAGTCCCCTGCGTAACGACGGGCCCCTGATGTCCTGCAGGGGCCCTGATTAGCAGCACCCTGTGTTAACAGTTTGAGACGGGAGGCGGAGGTCCAAGCCGCCGCGCTGCAGAGCCGAACTTTGGATGAACTCCCATGAGCTACAGGGAGTGAAACATCACCCATATCTGTGTCACCCCCCCCCCCCTTCAAAAAAACACAACAGAGCGAACAGAGACCCCCTCCCACCTCCTCCCCTGTTGCTCTCTCTCCTGAGGCTGCGGCCGAGTCAAGATAAACTGCCTGGCTTGGTGGGAAGGGGAGGGCAGGGTGGAGTTGGTTAGGCAGTAAAATAAGCTCAGCGCCGGATGACGCAGGGATACCCGCCATAAGAGCCGCCGACATCCCCGAAAAAGGTCAAGCATGTGCGAGCGTAACGACGGAAACCTCCTTTATTCTCATCCTCCACCCGTTCTGTTTGATTTCACGCACTAATGAGTGTGAAACACGGGCGAGAGCGCGGCTCGCCGAGCAAACCGGGCACACTTAAGCACCTCCACGTCTCATCGCCGAGGGTTTATTTCCTCGAAGAATAAAGACTCCATCAACCTGAGCAACCTCTATTTCCACAAAAATGTCACATCACTGTGTGTGTGTGGATTCAGGGAGCGGAAAAGGCTCCAGAAACACGATTTACACCTTATATGTTGCATCTCTCCAAACAATTATTCTGCTGACACAACCGCTTTAATAGAGAGACGCAAAACCTAATAGAGACAGACGTGTTCAGCAGGCTTGACAGTTAACTCACAAGGGGAAGACGGCGGCGCGTTTGTGACAATCCGGCTTCCATATTAAGGAACTGCTTTTATTAGGGAACGTTGGAGGCTTCTGGTGGGAAGCTAGAAACACACACAGCTATCAGCTTCCTGGGCGCCGGTGAGAGCTCAGCCTAAAACCGAACGGACCTACCTGTCTTCTCTTTGATTTCACACAGGACGTTGAAAAGGGCCGGCTTCATTCGGTGACAGTTGAGAGCGTGTTTCCTGAAACAGAGAAGTGGCTTCATGAGTGAACCGAAGGGAAGGGAGCAGGAATATAAAAGCCTGGCTGTGGAGCGGAGCTCAGGATTCACGTTTCTCTAATTAATACAAACTATATATCAATGCTTCACTTCTGAGGGAAAACCTTCTGCAAACACCTCCGACACTTTCTACGTTCTAAAACCGGTTTGTCAAACGTCGAACCCCGTCTAACGTCTTAGTAATAACCGCTTTAATAACTCAGACATGCATGACATGTTAGCTAAAGCTGGTTCCAGTTTGTCCCTGTGCTCTACGGTTTAACTAAAACAGTGTGGGGGAATAAAATCAAGAATAATCAGCTTTTTAATCTTTTTTTTTCTACAAAAATTTTTTAAATACACTATAAGAAAAATAAAGATCAATAGCTGTATAAATACTAATGTATGGAATAGCCAGAAAGAATATATATATACATAGGAACAAACATGACAATTATCTAAGTTATACCCTTGAAAGTTTTGTTCAGTTTAGAAACATTAATGCATGTTATAACAACCAACAGAACGATCAATGAATGCTTTTTGAAATACTTCAATTTTAGAGTGACAGGTGTCTGAGTATCAAACAGCCACTAAATCTAGTTTTTATATGATTTATAAGAAATAAATTCCAATTGTATCCTAACAAATGTTACTACCAGCCTGTCACCATTTAACCCTGCATGTGGAATAACGAATGTTGCAACTTTAAAACATATTTAGGTAAAACAATATTTATTTACTTACTTTTCCTTCATCTAATTTATTCCTCCAGCTTTACTCACTTTTAAAGGAATTAATATGGATGAAATGTTCAAAATCACTTTGATTTATATTAATATTTCTATATATAGACTATATTTTTATATGTGGTTATATTTCAGAAATTAAAAGTTAAAATATTTCCTAAATGAAGCCACTTTTCATGTGTCGCCACAGAAATTTATTAAAACTTGAAAGCTAACTCTGATTGGTTTTCTTGGCGCGACCGGGATTCGAACCCATTTCCTCCGAATTTAAAACAAAAATTTAATTGACTGAGCCAAACACTGACTTTACACCAATAAATGCCGAAAATACAATAATTATTTTAGACATCTATTTCTCCTTTAGGTATTATTTTGTGAATGAGCTCATCTTAATAATTTCTTAATATTTTTTTGTTTTTAATACGTTGTTCAAATTTTTATATTTTATATATATATATAAATGTGTTTGGCTGTCTTTTAAATACGAGTTTTCCCGATAATTAAAGAATTGTTGCTCTCTTGTGAGCTCACCTGGCCTGGGCTTCGTCCAGACTTTGGTCCGTGATGGTCATGATTTGCTGTAAAATGTCTCCAATGTCCTGCTTCCTTCCGTCGCCGTCAGCTCCTCCGGTGCCTTCCTGCAAATGCTGCGGCAGACCGGGGTGCCCCGCCATGCCTACCCCCGTGTGAGAGTGCATCAACCTGGGCTGCTCGTCCATGTCTTCGGCCACCCTTTATTATTGGGATTAATTTAAATCGGAAGCTCCCAGGCTAATTATTTCCTGCAAAAAAATATATAAAGTAAAAAGAAGAGGAGGAGAGAAAGATGCTGGGGAATAAATCCCGGTATTTGCTGTGGTTCTTTTCTTCGTTTGAGCGTTTTAGAGACGCTCCGCCAACATGGGGAAAAATGAGCAAAGGAGGCGATAGAGAGCGGAGCCTCAGAGCTGCTGCGGCTCTCAGCTCAGCTGGTGAAATCTGATCACAGAGACACACAGCTGCTGTCAGCTACTCCCCTGCATCCAAACCTCGCTCCGGCTTCCAACACAAGCGCCCAGAAAAAAAAAAAAAAAGTGGCCGTGAGAAATAAAACAGCAGGGATTCTTTTTTTTTTCTTTACTTCACTCGCTCCATCCTCTCGCTTTTTGTCATGTTAGGTTCAGCCTGAGCAGGCGGAGACGTCGGGAAGAGAGAGCGCGCGAGACTCAGGCTCCGCCCACGCGGCGTGATTGGGACACGCGCTGGATTTGGCCCCACCTTGAAAAGCACCGAGATCATCGGAATGTAGGATGCAGAAGAGACGCGCTGGTTGTTGGCCGCAGCCTGCAGATCAGAGGCGTAGCCAGAAAAAATAGAGACCCAGGGTCAATCTACGCTTCCAGCAGGAATGAGAAAAACATCCATACTTTCTAAATAAAAACAAACTATATTTCCCTACAGCCTTTGCTCACAAATTGATGCATATATTTAAAGGAATAGTACACGCAAAACATGATTAGCCTTCATTTTCTACTCACCCCCATGCTGAACAACACTCTGGAGTACTTTTTTGATATCTCAAATGCATCTGGAGATCTGGGAGGCTTCTTGCTGTCTGCTGACATTCAAATAATGGAGGTCTATGGCGCCCGAGGCAGAAAGGTCCATAAAAGTCCACAAAAAACGTGTCAATATTCCTCCATACTGCTCGTCCAATGTATTCCAAGTGTCCTGAGTGGGTAGCATCCAGAATTTACTCGAAACGAAGTCATTTAGAACGTTTTTAGAGCATAAACAGTAGTGTATAGGATTTCCTGAAAGAGCGCGCCTGCAAGTTCACGACGCTACGGGAACCGCGGCAGACCAAACCAGATGAAAGTGCGCATTCAGCTCGGCAAAGAACTCATGCTCTTCCTCAACACTGAAGTCCTCAGACATTTTTCTTTCGTTGTTTCTTTCTTTGCACAGGTAAACAGCACATTTCTTCTTCTACGCTTGCATTATCGGCAGAGCAGACGCTGAATGCGCACTTTCATCTGGTTTGGTCTGCCGGCTTCCGTAGCGTTGTGAACGCGCTTTCAGGAAATCCTATACACTACTGTTTATGCTCTAAAAACATTCTAAATGACTTTGTTTCGAGTAAATTATGGATGCTACCCACTCAGGACACTTGGAATACATTGGACGAGCAGTATGGAGGAATATTGACACGTTTTTGTGGACTTTTATGGACCTTTCTGCCTCGGGCGCCATAGACCTCCATTATTTGAATGTCAGCAGACAGCAAGAAGCCTCCCAGATCTCCAGATGCATTTGAGATATCAAACAAGTACTCCAGAGTGTTGTTCAGCATGGGGGTGAGTAGAAAATGAAGGCTAATCATGTTTTGGGTGTACTATTCCTTTAAACACCCATGTATCTAGATAAAAGGTATAATGGATACAATTATTTCAGGTTTGAGTTCTGGGGGGAACATATTTTACATTGTCATTACCTACTTTTATCAGGCTCAGACTGGTAATCTGTGATACCAGCGGGCCGATCCTAATTTCATACCAGCCCCAACAATTAAAGGCTAGTTATCCTCCTGCAGCAGTGTGTTGCAGTGAGCTTGTAGCAGACATTTTTGATTTATGCTCAAAATTGAAGCGTGGTCTGTGCTATGTTATTCCACGCCACAATGCAAGAGGGACAATCAGGAACTAGCTGTGGGTGTAGATACATCCAAGGCGGTGAGGAATTGGGTGCAAGTTTGTGCTACAACGGAGGATTCAGTTGGAAAAAAGGTCCTAGCGTTCTTGCGCACCTCACTCCTCTAGCTGGTCCATCTTCATACAAACAAAACAAGCCGGCAAGCGGATGTAGATTTGACCAATCAGAGGCCTCCTGTCTGCGGTGCAGCAAAGTTTCTGCGGAAGGGGGCGGAGACGTCTCTGCATTCACTGCGACACCTACGCAAATGACCTAGTTTCAAAGTATAAAGGCTGATTTCAGGCTGATTTCTACTTCGAAGCTAGGTCGTCTGCAAAGGTGTCTCAGTGAAAAAAAAAAAATGTCCCCACCCCCTCCGCAGACAGTCGGCTGCACCTCTCCCAAATTGTAACTGACCGCAGACAGTGCCGCAGACAGGAGGCCGGCTTGTTTTGTTTTTATGACCAAAATTGCGGAAAACAACTCGTAAAGTTTGACCCGCTAGGAGAGCGAGGTGCGCGAGAACGCTGGGACCCTTTTTTCACATGGATCCCCACTCTTTTTCGCCGTCATGTTCCTCCGTTGTCGGACAAATTGCCCCCACTTCCTCATCGCCTCTGCTGCATCCAAACCCACAGCATATAGCTCAGACAATATTGAGCATAAATCAAAAACGTCTGCATCAAACTCACTGCTACACACTGCTGCAGGTGTATAGCCAGCCCTTAAATCAGCCAAAGCTGCTACCTGTGACAGTAAATAACTCAAGGAGCTCAAGAAGTAATACAATGTTAACTACCTAAATGTAATTTTCTATTTCTTCAAACTGTAAAATCCTTGCAACAAACTAAATTAATAAAAATAATAAAACTAAAATGCTTTCTTTAAACCAAGCTATGATGTTCCTCTTATATTTTGCAAATTTATGTTAGAATATTTTGCAAAAATATGTTGCGCTGCATGAGGGTGTTTTGCATCTAAAGGCTAACGTTTCCTGTCTTACGTGAATTGTTGTCAGGTTGGGATGTTTCCCAATCTGGCAGTTTCTTTTGATTTATGGCCTAAGAGAACAGTAGAATGTGGTTCAAATTGGGCGAGATTTCATATAACCAGGCGGTTTATGAAATTTTTTTTGGGCTGGAAAACCTGAGTCATTGACATCTGGCAACCTTGTTTGATGTTACGCAGCAGCAGTCACTGTCGCGTCCATGTTAATAACCAAAACCCATCGTGTGATGCTTGAAGATAGATTGGTTAATCTACAATATGTATTCCTATTGTGTTTCACATTTGAGACTCACACGTTGAGAGTCACTAGTCCAAGCCTGCTTTTATCAATAATAACTCTGCATAAAATTGATTTTTAAACGTACCAATATCCACATTTAATGAATTTTTAAGTTATCATTAAAGTAGTTATTTATCTATGATTTCACTGAAGAGTCAGAGATGATTGCAGAGACACATAATTTTCTCTTTACCCCATATAACACAAAATCTAGTTATGAAAAGAGCATGAATTCTGTACCTATCATCTTTAATGTTAGTACATTCATGTGCATAATTAATCACAGTGTTTCTGTTGTAAAGTAATTGTTAATATATGAAAAACTAAAATTTTTAATAAGTTGAACATTCCCCTTGAGAGTATTACTGCTGCCGCCTTCTCTATTAGAGGGAAAAGAATGGTAGGGGTGGCCAATGATTGGCTGAGGAAGGCCATGGCCACCCCTGGCCCCCCATCTAGCTCCACCCCTGCTGCAGATCAGGGAGAGAGGAGCAAGAGGAGACCCTCAGCTGGAGCCCTCACCCCCTCCACAGGAGGACATTTAATCTCCTCTCTGTGCCAAGAAGAGGCACACCCATCAGAGCTGTTGGCCAACCTCCAAATTTGTTATGATTATTAGATTGATAAAACCATGAAGATGCATGGCTTAGAAAATCGATCAACTAACGAGACACAAAACCGATGAAAAACACCTCCTTGCTTCTAATAAAAACAATATTACAGACCATTCTGCAAACAGGGAGGCTTGCTTTGTTTCAGTAGAGCCTGTTCATTCATTTCCAGGTATGTTGCAGGGCTACGCTTGGCTGACTTTGGCAGGGTCCTCCTAATGTAAGGCGGTGACCCATGTTGAGCAGCCAAGCAGCAAGACCCGAGTGTGTTTGGCCAGGCTGAAAAGTGCCCTTCAGGCCCAGCACAGCCTCTCTGCCGCTGCTGCCCTCCGCCAAGAACCATTCAGAGGGAAAGAGAGAAAAGAAGGAGGAGGGCTGGATGGAAAAATATGCTCCAGTGTAGAACGAAAGTCAATGCCCTGCAAATCACTGGGCTGGATGTAACTACACATATAAGACAGGAAACGCTGCTTTTCTTGTGTGGGCTGAAAGCAGCATTAATGCATGCGGCTGAGACTTTCGATTATTCTAAACACAGTGATGCTGTTATTAAAAGTTATAATAAAGAAGGCGTGTCCAGTGATGAATGTTCCAGATCCATCCCTACCAGCTCCACCTCTGACTCCAGGGAACAGAGCAAGTCCAGAAGCAGCCAGCAGGGGGCTCTTTGGAGCTGCCACCCTTCAAACCTGATGCAATTGGAGCAGTTTGCTCATGAGGAGTGGACCAAAATCCCTGCTGAGACGAGCAGAAGTCTCACTGACATTTACAGGAATCGTTTGGTCGCAGTGATTGCCTCTCAGAGATGGGAAGTAACGAAGTACAAATACTTCGTTACTGTACTCAAGTAGATTTTTCTGATATTTTTACTTTACTTTACTACTTATTTTTATGGCGACTTTTTACTTCTACTCCTTACATTTTTACACAAATATCTGTACTTTCTACTCCTTACATTTAAAAAAATTGGCTCGTTACTTTAGTTTTGAATCATTTCAATGGAGTCACCGTTATTATTTTTCACGTCATCAATACCAAATTCAATCTAGTTGGATGGGAATCTACGTTGCATTTGACGCACCACTACAAGATGAATCGACAGATTCGGCGGTATTCATTGGCGGCAAATCATTGCAGCTTGGTGGCGGTGGCGTTAGCATAGTAGCATGGACGACGAGATGATTGAAAATGAACACAACGGAGATCTAGTCCTATTGGCAGACATCCATTTAAAATGTAGGCAACGGCATGAAAAAAGTGGTTTCTACTTTTACTTTTATACTTTAAGTAAATTTACAAGCCTGTACTTTGTTACTTTTACTTGAGTAAAGAATTTTAATCAGTACTTCCACTTTTACCAGAGTATTTTTTAACACAAGTATCTGTACTTTTACTCAAGTACGGAAAGTGAGTACTTTTGCCATCTCTGTTGCCTCTAAAGGTTGTGCAAATAAATATTAGGTTAATAATAATAATACATTTTATTTAAAAAGGCGCCTTTCTGGACACTCAAGGTCACCGTACAAAAGCATAAAAACAGCGTCAGAAAAATTAAAAATAAAAATATTTAAAAACATTT